GTCTGTCTGTCTCTTACCTCCCTCAACTCCTATGGTGGTTTCTCTCCCCTTCCCCTACCCAGTGGCAGCTATTGCAGCTATGTGCGCATGATAGTGAGTACAAGTTTTTGGCACACAGTACGTTGTACCGATGAGCCTGAGACAATCCCTAGCTGCATCTTCTGCTTCGTTTCTCTTCCTGAGCACAGGTGGTCAAAAGCAATGCTGAGATGGATATTTTTAGTCTTGGAGGCTACCTCGTATGTTCTAGAGGTTGGAAGTCCTTGGGTGCTGGCTGGCAGCAGGAGGTACACTCTGCAGCTATATCCTTCTTAGAGGGGATGATACCATTGCCAGGAGAATGAGGCATGCTCTGGCTGACCAGAAGACCTGAATTTTGAGTTACTGCTCAGATAGCGCAGATTGAGGTGAAAGTAAAACCTGTTTAGCAAAACTCCAAGTATCCCAAGAGTCTTCCTACTCCTGAGAAAGCAGATTAGGATTGAAGGGTTATTGTTTTATGTTTTCAGTATTTGCCAGTGATTGCTTATGAGTCTTTTGTTATAAGCATTTGTTTTATAGAGGAGGGAATAAACAGCTTCCTATACCTGATAATTACTACTTTGTACATTGAATAACTTTTTTAGAAGGGACCTTGTTAACAGCTAAATCCAAGATATATGAAGTTTTCCCTGGAACCCTAGGATGGGGGCACAATGAGGTATAGAATACAAAAAAAAAAAGCTCCACTCCTCCCTTTGGGGGCTCAAGTTCACCCAAGATAGAACCTGGTCCACAGAAGTCCAGAGCAAGGGAGGGAGGTGCCCACTGACATCCCCTCAACCCTTGTCAGAAGACCAAGGTAGAGCTTTTGTATATAAAGTTCCATGTTTGACTGAGCAGCTCTTCCTGCACAGATGTCAATCATCTTTGACATAGTCCCCAGTGACAGAGACCATGGGGACCAACCAGTAGCCTCTGGTCATGCATCCTTTAGAAAGGGGCCTGAGCATAGGGCCAACTGAAAGGGGCCAAGGTGAAGGCTCAGCTTCCTGTGATGTACCCCAAGATTTCCTTGGGGGGCTCCCCTTTTGCCTCAATTACCAAGTAATTACTTAGGGGAATACTTTGGCAGTGAATGCTTTTGGATCATAGGGAAAAAAACCTCTACTCAGTTCAATACTCAAACATTTTTTAAAATAAATTCTTATTGATGTTTTTTGGTTTTTCCATTGCTTACAGTAGAACAATCTATCCCTTTCCACCTTTCAGAGAACCATTTCCTATAATAAAGAACAAAAAAGAGGAATGGGAAAAAGTTTATTAAAACTTACCAATGACTATGGCTATGGGATGTATTTTTAATCAAGAAAAGGATAGAGGTAATTACAAAAGATAAAACAGATAGTTTTAATTATGTGAAATTGAAAAACTTCTGCACAGACAAAATTAATGCATCTAAGATAAGTGGAGAAGCAGTTAAATGGGGAAAAAGCAACAGCTTTTTATTAAATTTCTCAGATAAGAGTTTGGTATCCAAGATGTCCAAAAGCCATCTCCCAATAGTGATGCAATGAAAGAATATGAACAACTAGTTCTCAGAAGAAGAATTGTGAACAATTAATAACCTTATCAAATAATGTTCTAATAAGAAAAGAAATGCAAATCAAAACAACCCTGAATTTTTACCTCATATCCAGCAAATTGGTGAAGATGACAAAAACTAAAAGTCAATGTTGGAAAGGTTTTGGAAAAATACTAACACGAATTGCTGGTGGAGCTGAGAATTGGTAGAACCATTTTGGAAAGTAATTTAAAATTATGCAAACAAGTAGTTAAAATGTCCATACTCTTTGGCTCAGGGATTTCACTGCTAGGCATATACTCCAAGAAGGTCATCGATGAGAAGGAAATAAGTCGCCATATACAATTGTCAACTCTAAAAACAAATGACCAGAGTCACAGAGGTTATACAACCACTGTTAACTCTGAAAATAACAAAGAGCTCACACAGATTATCACAACCACAGTTAACTCTGAAAAATAAAATAAAAACTAAGAGAACAGACATAAAAATAAAATCAAAACAGAAATAACTCTGAAAAAATAAAATAAAACCTAAGAAAAAACAAAGTCATAAACACAAAGCTTTCTTTATTCTGTTGGAAGAGGGAATTTTGACACAAGTGCCAGGCCCTTCTCTACTAGGAGACCTATTTTAGTGTGGGCAAAGTTCAGTACATATACTAGTGGCTACACAATGAGCTGTAGCCTTGACAATGAGGGGTAATAGCAACACTTAGATAAGTTTGATCCATAGCAGGGCTTTGGGACCAGAACATGGGTACTGCAGGTGCTTGGTTAAGTTCAGGGACCACCTGGTGCTGATATAAAAAAATTCTGGGATTTTGCTGTGGCTGATTTCATCCAGAGGGTGAGAGCAAAGAATTAGTGTTATGCCTAGCTCAGAGCACAGCCTGCTTGCTGGGCCTTAGCTCTGGAAAAAAGGGTGTCTTCTGATAGTAAAAAGAGAAGAGTAAAAAGAGACGAGTGGTCTTGGCATGGGGATCCTGATACACTAAAATATTTATAACAGCACATTTTGTGGTAGGAAAGAACTGGAAACAAGGTAGATACCCATTGACTGGGGAATGGTTAGACAAATTGTGGTACATGAATGTAATAAAGTGTTATGATTGTTGTTGTATTTGTCCTTTGCTCTCAAAGAGGACAATGACATCAGGGAGATGATGACATGACTTGCAATTGTAAGCAGCAACAAATACAATAAATGCCAGGAAGCATGGAAGGACATAGATGAATAGACATAAAATGAAGTGAGCAGAGCCAAGAAAACAATAAGCACTATGACTACAACACAGTTAATGTAAAAAAGAATAATAACAAAATAATAGAAAATGAATGTTGTGAGATTACAAAGAACAGGTTGGCTGAATGGAAGAAATATGAGAAGACACCACCTCCCACTCTTTTGCACAGATAGAGGATGGGAGAGAGAATGGATGTGGAACACTGCATACTTAAAAAAAATTATTAATCAATTTTGCTTCTTTTTTCTCTTCTTTTTTCTTTTCTTAACAACAAAAACAAAAACAAAAACTTTGTTATGGATGGCTCCCTAGGAGGAGAGAGGAGGAAGCAGGGGGAGAAATTTAGGTGACAGAAAACCAAAATATATTAATATAAATTTTTTTTAAAAACCTGAACAACATATCAAAGTCTGACATTATATGTAGTAGTCCTCACTTCTAGTCTCCCACCTCTACAAAGAAGCAGGAAAAAATGTTTTCTCAACACAGATCTCCCCCCCTAAAAAAATTAAGAAAAATAAAGTTTGAAAACTGTGCTTCTGATCTGCACTCAGACTCCATCAGTTCTTTCTCTGCAGGAGGATAGCGTTTTATATCACGAGTCTTTTGGAATTGTCTTGGATAACTATATTGCTGAGAATAGCTTAGTCATTCACAGTTGATCATATTGCTGCTACTATGTACAATGTTCTCCTGATTCTGCTCACTTCAATTTGTATCAGTTTATGTCTTTCCAGATTTTTCTGAAAGCATTCTGCTCATCATTTCTTATTGCACAATATTATTCCACATTCCCCAATTGATGGATATCCCCTCCATTTCTATTTTTTTGCCACCACAATAAGAGCTGACATAAATATTTTCATACATATATATCCTTTTCCTTTTAAAATTTTTTTTAATCTTTTTGGGACACAAACCTAGGACTAATATTGCTGGGTCAAAGAGTATGTACAGTTTTATAGCCCTTTGGGCATAGTTTCAAATTGCTCTTCAGAATTGTTGAATCAGTTCACAACTCCATCAATAATGAATCAGTGTCCCAATTTTCTCACATTCCCTTCAGCACTAGACATTTCTGATAGGTATGAGGTGGTACTTCAAAATTATCTGCCATCTTCTACTCCACTGTCAAAGCTTTTTCTCACCTCTTTGTTTTTTTCCACTTAATAGCATTTTATTTTTTCCAATTACATGTAAAGATAGTTTTCAACATTCACTTTTATACGATTTTGAGTTCTAATTGTTTTCTCCTTCTCTCTGTCCCTCCCCAAGACAGCCTGCAATCTAGTATGGGCTATACGTGTACAATCACATCAAACATTTTTCCACATTAGTCATATTGCAAAAGAAGAATCAGAACAAAAGGGAAAAACCATGAGAAAGAAAAAAGAAAATTGTATGCTTTGATCTGTATTAAGACTCCATAGTTCTTTCTCTGGGTGTGGATAGCATTTTTCCATTATGAGTCTTTTGGAATTGTATGGTTGAGAAGAGCTAAGTCTAAGTTGGTCATCACACAATGTTAATGTTGCTGTGTAAAATGTTCTCCTGATTCTGCTCACTTCATTCAGCATTAGTTCATGTACATCTTTCCTGGTTTTTCTGAAATCCATCTGCACATCATCTCTTACAGCACAATAGTATTCATTACATTCAAAACCTGTTCAGTCAATCCCCAACTGATGGGCATACCCTTAATTTCCAATTCTTTGCCACCACAAAAAGAGTTACTATAAATATTTTTGTACATGTTGGTCCTTTTCCCTTTTTGATGATCTCTTTGGAATATAGACCTAGTAGTGGTATTGCTGGATCAAATGCACAGTTTTATAGCCCTTTGGGCATAGTTCCAAAATTGCTCTCCAGAATAGTTGGATCAGTTCACAACTCCATCAACAATGCATTAGTGTTCCAATTTTCCCACATCTTTCCACATTTTCCTTTTTTGTCATATTAGCCAATCTGATAGGTGTGAAGTGGTATCTCAGAGTTGTTTTAATTTGCATTTCTCTAATCAATAATGATTTATAGCATTTTTTCATATGAATTTAGATAGCTTTAATTTCTTCATCTGAAAACTGCCTGTTCATAGCCTTTGACCATTCATCAATTAAAGAATGGCTTGGCTTTTTTGCCCATCCAGCCATCCAGCCATCATGGTAGAAGCTTGGCTGTCATCTCATCATCATGTGCTTTCATAAAACATTCAGAATCAAGAGGTTCCTGGCCAAGAAACAGAAGCGGAGTCATCCCATCCCTCAATGGATTCGAATAAAAACTGGAAATAAGATCAGGTACAACTCAAAAAGGAGATACTGGAGAAGAACCAAGCTCAGATTATAAAGAATTGCCAGTGCAATGAAAGACATTCTACACCAAGACCACCTTCCCCCCCCCCAACAGGGCATCCATCAATCCATTCATCCATCCATCAATCACTCAGTTGCCTCATTGCTCCCAATAAGAAGTAAATTACCACTACTGCCCTTCCATTTCAGAAGCTGTCTGCCAAGATGCAGACATCCAAAAAAAGAAAAAACCCAAACCCCAAGAAACTGTTAAATTTATCTTGCCCCTAAATCTTTTCATAAATTGCATCCACGCATTTGGGTACAGTGTATTGTGATATAGTTTAAATTACTGTTATCTACATCTCTGTGTAATATTTGTATGTTTGATACAAATCAAGAAGCAGAGATCATAATGAAACAAGTCACTCCTGTCAAGAAGAAGAACCAAGCTTAAGCTCTGCCTTGAACATGCTGTCACAATAACCTCTCTGTGTTTTGTTTTGTGTTCTAAGGAGTTATAAGACAGCATCTACCTCACAGGGTTGTTGTGGGGATCTAAGATTTGCAAGTCTTCAGTGTAAGCCTCCAGTGCTGCTAATCAGGGGCTGTCTCAGCCAGATTATGCACAGTTGACTGTGCTCATTTATCAAACTCACAGTCAGGGAAGTAACCTGCTGACCCCCTGCTTATTTTGTACAATAAGCCATCTTTGTTCCTTGTTGGGAGGTGGTAATTAAGTGTTGGCAACTTCAAAGTTGTCGGTTATTTGTGTGTTCGGGAAAGAACAACCTTTGTTAGGAACTAGACCTGGTCCAGGTGAATGGTTTCACACTTTTCTGAAGATGTGATTCTACTAATAAAGGGCTTCTACAAAAAAAATAAAGAAAGAAAGAAAGAAAGAAAGAATGACTTGTATTTTTATAAATTTGACTCAGTTCTCTATGTTTTTGAGAAATGAGGGATTTATCAGACTTGTTTGTTGCCGTATCCTCCTACATATCTTGCATTAGAGGTCTACCCAAATTGCTGAAGGCCTTTCCATAGATATCTTTATATGGATGTCAGTGGAGCACATGTACTGTCCATCCCTTCTTAATCTTGTTGTGTAACTGGCCTGCCTCCTTTTGCAGTCATGCATGTCTCTGATTGTATCTTTAATGTGACTTCTGGTATGAAAGTTTTGAATAGTAATATTTTATGTGGTGTAGTAATCTCATACATCTCTTCATTGCCATTTGGGTGACTGATTACTTTAATTCTTTGGAGACTGAAAGAATATTGGTGCTAAAAAGACATGACTCTCTTTCAAAGAGAAGTCTTGGGGTCATTAATCTGGTCTACTCTTCCCTCTCCTCTTCAATCCTGAGTCTAGTTTATTATCCATATGCAGGTTCAGTCCAAAACACATGTACTGATATAGCTAAATCTGTGGGGGTGTCTATCTCACTGAATGTCATAGTCTGGATGATAGGCATTCTTTATTGACTTGGTTTTTCTGAAGTGGCTAGATAGAATTCTTTAATTAAAGTGACTTTGGATTTCATTTTATGGCAATTTTCTGGGACTTGATGCAACCTGCATAATGTCATCCACAAATATGAACATCTGGAGACTTTCCCATTTATAGAGAATCCCTCTTTGATTCAGACTTTATTAGTCATCCTCCATGTCCCTCGATGTCAGGACTGAACTCCCTTATGAAGCCTGTTATATCACTGTTTTATACCTCAATTGATATTAATAAGCAGGAGGTACAGCTAGGTGGTACAGTGAATGGAGCACTGGGCATGGAGTCAGAAAGATCTGAGTTTAGATCTAGCCTTAGATATTTATTAGCTGTTTGCCTCAGTTTCCTCATCTGTAAAGTGAGCTGGAGAGGGAAATGGCAAATCACTCCAGTGATTTGCTGAGAAAACTCCAAATAGGTCCATGAAGAGTTGGATATGACCAAAATGATTCAACAACAACAACAGTTCAGAAGAGAGAGAGCTCACTGTTGGCTACTGGTGAAGGAAAGCTTTGAGGAAGAGGTGGGCTGTAAACTGGGATTGGAAGGAAGGACAGAACTCACAAAGGCAGAGAAGAGAAGGAGGATATTCTAGGCAGTGGGAAAACCATAAGCAAAGGAGTGGAGGGAGGAATAAATAATATGTTTTCCAGGGATGGTGGTAAGAGGATGAGTCTTCCTGACTCCAGGCACAGCACTCCATCCACTGCACCACCTAGCTGCTCCATTCTTCTGAACTAGTGCCTCAGATTCTGTATTTTGTTTATAGTTCAGGTATTACCATTTTTATTTGTATTGTGACTCTTGGGGTACCTCTAATTCTCAGGACAGGTTCCCTAGAGTATAACTACCCCAAGTTCAAGGTACTCTGTGCAAAGTAACATGACACCATGAGACTTCAGTTCTAAAAGAAATTAGGCCAAGACTAACGTAAGTTGGAGAAAACTGTCTGGAAATTTTTATGAAAATTGTAAATATGACTTTGCAGTGATGACTATCCTCTAATATCCTAAAAATGTAATATCATGGAGAAATTCTTATGTACTATTTCCCTTACAGGCACTCCCAAAACTATAGCCCATAAGCTCTCACTGATATATTTACCTTTCAGGAGTCAATCAGAGAACTCTGTACCTCTCTCATGACCTTGGGTGCTCTTTTGATACCAAGAGACAAAGTATCTCCAGATTGGTTGTAGATAGTTTAATCAATCATTATGAATACCTACAAAGTAGGGGCAATCTTCAGTCTGGGGCGGCGGCCAGTCAGTTTAGTGGATCCCTGCAAAGAACCCCCAAAATCCCCATGGTAATTATAGAAAATAGACAAAGGAAGGAGGAGCTAGAGAGCGCATCACTAGTGATTGGTGGATATTTTTGGTTTTCTACTTAGTAATGAGCTTGGGAGTTAAGCCAATGTTATGCCTAAACATAAGTTTGTGTATTGCTCATGTCTTGGTCACATATGGTTCACAATATTCTTGTTATGGCTTTCATAGGTCACAGTATCATAAGTTATGACTCAATATCTAAAATATAATTTAGAATTTAAGTTATGATTGTTAACAGGTCACCATGGTCAGGCTTCCACCTTTCACAGAGGTTAAGTTTTTATGGCTTTTCACTTACTACTGTATTTTATGTTTTTTCCCAAAAAGAACTCTACAACCCACCCTAGAAAAGCCACCTATCGATTCTTTCCAAATGTCTTGCACAATTTCCTTGGGCAGCTCTATACTAGGGTGTTTAGGGCCTTTTTGGGTATAACCAAGATGATCTCATTTGTTTTTTTATTTTAAATTTTAATTGTTCAATTAATTAAATTTTAGTCCTCAACATTCACTTCCATAAGCCTTTGAGTTTTAAATTTACTCCCCTTCTGTGCCCTCCCCCTTCCCCAAAACAGTGTGCAATCTGATATAGGCTCTACATATACATTCTTACTAAACATATTTTCACATTAGTCAAGAAGAATTAGAATGAATGGGAGGAACCACAAGAAAGAAGAATCAAAACAAACAAACAAACAAACAAAAAAACAGAGCAAATAGTATGTTTCAAACTACATTCAGACTCCATAGTTCTTTCTCTGGATGTGGATAGCATTTTCCATCATGAGTCTTTTGGAGTTGTCTTAGATCCTTGTATTGCTGAGAAGAGCTAAACATATCAAGGTCAGTCATCACACAGTGTGGTTGTTATGTATACAATGTTCTCCTGGTTCTGCTCATTTCATTTAGCATCAGTTTATGTAAGTCTTTCCAGGTTTTTCTGAAAGCTGCCTGCTCAAGGATGATCTCATTTGTAAGCATAAATCACATAAGCAATACAAGCACAGATAGGAAAACAACATGGTACCAATGAAAAAATTACCACATTTGTTACAATTTTCTTCCATCCTACCCCTGGGGAGGTGAAGGAAGAACCAATGGCATTTGGAGATTAATGGGAGAGCTGAATTTCTGAACTTAGCATTACAAGCCAGCTGAGTTTCTCAACTAGGTTCAGAGATATATAAACATGGCTTGGGCAGTTTTACAACATATTGGGGGAAGGGGTGATAGCGAACAGGATAAATTACAAAATGGGATCAAAACAATTTGGTTTTCTCAATTTCTCCCTTTTTGTCAAGGGGAGACTTGTACAATGACGATCGTCAACCCACCCCCAATGTTTATTTAATTAGCAAATTTCATCTTGGAATGCAGATGTCCCATGCAGTTGTCTGGTCTCTGGAACATCTTTTCATGGGGTAATCTGGAAAAGGTCTTGTCCTCAGGGGCAGCTCTTCAGAATTGTTTTTCTCATTCCAGGTTGCTTGTAGAAACTCCTTAGATGTTCCTGCTAAAATCTTTTGCAAAGCAGATCTCAATACAAGTTTAGTATAGTCCAGGGGAGGGGAATCTATGACCTTGGGGCCACATGTGACCCTCTAGGTCCTCAAGTGTGGCCCTTTGACTGAAACCAAACTTTATAGAACAAATCCCTTTAATGAAAGATTTTGTTCTGTAAAACTTGAATTCAATCAAAAGGCTGCACCTAAGGGCTGCCTAAAGGCCACAGATTTCCCACCCCAGGTATAGCCTCTTAAATTTTTCTTCTCCAATAACTAGCTTATATTGTGAAAACCAGCTCAAATCTTAGAATTCTGATCTTAACAATAGAATTATAAGAGGGAACATCAAAGTAGGAACCCAGAGTTTGCTTAATGGTTCAGAAAGCTTCATTGTTTTTTTTTTTACATGCCCCATTAGAATCATTCACATTTGACATACAGGGTTGTCTGATCTTGTTACTTTTACAAACGTTTCCACTCTGATTCCAATTCTGTTAGGAGGATCAGATGGTATTGAGGATTCAGTCCTTTATATGAAAACATCAGTAACAACACTCTTGCAAGTAGAAGCTTTCCTACCCTGGATTCAATAGTCACACAAATGAATTTACTTATAAGTGACTGACTTTACTCCAATTATAATAAAAGACTTGGGAGGATACTTAAATAAATAATTCCAAAATAATGCATATAAAATTGTTTATAATAAA